ACGACCAGAAGGTAAATCACAGTAAAACTACGATGGTTATTCAATAAACGTAGCTAAACTCTTATTAGTTAGATATACCACCTTGGTGCCAGTGTGTAAGGAAGCCATCCCTGAGGACATGGAGCTCGTCACCAAGGCAGTGGAGGAAAAACAACAACGGAGAAGAGCCACTAGAAGCCTTTAAGTTGCTCTCAACGACTGAACGTTCGGCAGTGAGCGGAAACATGGCGGCGTGCGGCTGCTTCAAGCCCAAGATGTACGCTGCTGTCCTCTTGTCTTCATGGCTTCAGCGATCCAGGGACAGGACGATTGGCTCAGGTTCAGACTCATATGGCACCGTTAGTCTCGTTTCTACCTCTTTTCGCTAAAACCTGTTTTGTGTGAAAATTATAGTTGGTGATAATTGTGCACTAAAGCAAGCCACCCGAAACTCATGGGGATTCCGTTTGTCGGTTGCACCAGCCATTAGCTCCACTTGCTTTCTGTCTATTGTACTCCTGAAAAATTACCTAACGCTATTGACGCACTTATAAACGATTTCAAAAGCAGTCAATATGCTTAAGACAACCATATTGCATTTCTGCAAGCAAGTTATCACCGAGTAAAATCTTCTCGATCAAAGAGAGATTATAATGGAGGAGAACAGACGTCACTAAAGACAACACGACGCCCTCAAATACAAGTAAGTGGTAAACGCATCGCCGCCAAAGACAACACGAATCCCTTAAAAGCCGCAAGATGCGCGGTAAGAGGAGGAACGGAGATGTGGTGATCATCAGTGTTGCGGGTAACTTGGGCGCAGGTAGAAGGAAGTCAGGGTAGGAAGGAGTAAAAGAAGAAGAACTTGTGGTGGACTCGGTAAATGAAGAAGTAAGATTAATGTTTAAGAAAGTAGCGGGCTACTAACAAGAAATTAGTATGCGGCATTCAGAAACATAGTCTAGAATTGCCGCTACCATTCATCGTACTAAAATGTTCCAGACATTTTAGTACATTTTTTATTAGAGTCAAAAATACCGTGTCTCTTCATTATTAGTTTATAGAGAGCACGATGGAGAGGCGGTCCCTGTGACGGGCCCTAACCTCAACAGCCTCCCTGGATCGACATCAGGGAACGTCATTGGATAATATAATACACGTGTTTTGATTGGTCTACGAAAACCCTGCTAAAAGTGCTCAGTCAATTTACAAAATGGCTACACGAATTCGTGTTTTTTGCGTTTCTGAAGCTCCTAGAGGCCCTACAGCCAAACGGAGACCGGATTTGGACTTTACTCGCCAGGGCAGTTTTCTGGTCCAAATCGCCATTTGGCCACCAGGTGGCAGACTGAAAAATGACTCGAAAGTTCAAAACGAATTAGTTTTGACAGTGATAGGTTTTGAGAGTACACTTGTATTGAAGTTAATAGCAGTTACAACAAGTGGCCATCTTATCGGAGCGTGTATGTTAATTTAGAGAAGCTCAATGCCAACAGAATCGGCCCACATGACGGACAGCCTTGAATTTAGTAGAGACGACAAACGCAGATGATGCTGGGACGGCATAAGGTCTTATTCTATGGTCCGGCGCGCGGTATAGGATCAATCAGCAGCTCGGGGGCTCATCGAGCTGATCTCGTAGTCTCACATCACAATTTACATTTTACTGTCACCGCACCAGCCACACGCACGTCAAGGACACGCACGTCAAGGCCACGACACCAACAAAACTTCGGTGGTTCAACAGCCAGCTTTGGGTATTGCAACGCTTCATTCTCGCTCAGTCGGCGTCAATCAGGATACTTGTGGAGACCAGGCAGATTGGCTCGAGGCTCAGTTATTTAACGCCAGCTTTGAGGATCATGCCTCGGTCGGCGCAGGTGGCCCGGATGGACCCTACTATCGCCGTGCATCTCATTACAATGGCTGCCCCAAAGCAGTTACCTTCGTCTACGATTTCTCTATATGAAATAGTACAGTTATATTTCACTAGATAGTCATCATCACATCGGAGATGCTTACTTCGACAGCCTCCCACATCGAGGAATGTGTATGATGCTCTATCTGTCGGATAGTTACCACAGGTGGCTGTTATAACAGTCCTGTACGTACATGAGCATTTACAAGAAGTAGATCTTGTTTTGATATTGATGATCTTTTTCCTTTGACTTTCATTGTCAGATTTGTCACCTTGTGCCGTTTTGCTTTGGCAATAACTGTGCTGATTTCTTGTTTTCATTGTTATTTTGGCTACTCAGGAAAACCTTAGAGGATTAAACCTGTTCACCGTAGTGATTGTTGTTGCTATCGTTTTAGTTATACGAATTTGTAGCAGCTACTTCAGGGAAACCTTTAATTTTAAGGATCAAAACCTGTTCGCTGAATTGTTGCTGTTATCGTTTTAGCTTTACGAATTTGTAGAAGCTACCTCAGGAAAACCTTTAATTTTAAGGATCAAAACCTGTTCGCTCTGTTGTTGGCTACTCAGGAAACTTTTGAGGATACACCTGATCACCGTATTTATCTTTATATATTTTGTGTAAGCGTTTTAGCTTTGTTCATTTCTTAAACTGCCATTGTTTTGCTCTTTAATATGTGGATATTTCTTTACAATGTGTGGTTTGTTTTTTGTTTTTCGCTGCTGAGGTCTTATAGAATTGCCTCCCAATTTCATGAAATGGTTGATATAGGTGCTGCAGTCATTTTCAATTTGTTCTGACTATTGTTATTGAGAGCTTATAGTTTTCAAATATTTTTGAAGAAAGGCTACAGCTTTTAAAAGCATAAATAACATCAAACAGTGTCATCGGTAGCGTACGCATCATATTTGCAGTAAGTGTGCAGGCTCTCGTCGTTGGGGTTGTTTTTCTCCCTAGAGGCTCATCGAGTTATTTCTCGTTTGGAAGTTTATAATTTTATTTTTACTTCGCAAGCGCTAGCGATAGATTTTGCAAACTATCGAATTCATTGTAGATGGAATTGATGCAGTAAAACTATAGTTTGCTTTCTGTAGACAGAGGCTTCTGTAGGCTTGTCTTGTAGTCATAAAGTGTTGAATTTTTTTTTCTTCTCATTCTTTTGGTACTGTTATGCTGGAAATGTTTGAAACTTTTGCCAGCGACAATAAATGCTAAAGTTTGGCGAATGCATGAATAGTTTTTGGCGTTGATGCCTCCCAGTTTCATACATTTCATTAAGTATTTCTCTCTCAACGTTTGGGGTATATATATATATATATTATTTTGTCGTCAAGCTAGGCAGCCTTTGTGAAATTTGCAATTTTGTATTTGCATCTTGCAAATTGCATGTTTGATTTTATTCATAAATTTCTTTTGTGAATGTGGCATAAATATGTTTTGAGCAGCTAGGTAACAATGCTTGCACCAAAGCAATATTAGGAGCACACTTCACTCACATTTTATCTAGCTCACAGCTTTGGGGTAATTTTCTCCCTGGTGGCTCTTCGGATTGTATTTAGGATTTTATTATACTTCGAAGTAGTGAGAAGCATGCACACTATTTAGTCAATTGACAGAGACATTGCTCATGCAAAAAAAGTGTTACTGCTTCGTAGGCTCAATACGCAGTGCGTATGGTACGGAGTCCAGGGAGATTCTCCTCTGGCTCAATACGCAGTGCGTATGGTACGGAGTCCAGGGAGATTCTCCTCTGGCTCGATACCGCGTGGCAGACGTGCTGCTCACCGCGTGCAGCTCGTTTGCTGGCGTAGAGGGCAACATGGCCTCCCAGCATGGCGATCTATTGCACATGCAGCGCTACAGCTCAGTGGCTGGCGCAAAGTTGGCAACGTGCTTTGATGGGGTAGGTAAACATGTAGCGACTAAAGTCATCGATGAATACCACAAAGTAACGACAGCCGCTGAGGCTATTGACGGGAAGAGGTCCACATATGTCAGAATGAATCTTTTGTAATGGTGCAGAAGAGCGTACAACATGTCTAGTAGATGGAAATGGAGTCATGCACAGGCGCAATCAGGGCTTGCTCAGTCTTAGTACCTTGGCTCTCAGGAGTACCCTTCGCAAGGCTGTAGCGTTCCTGTGCTTGGAGCTCACGGACTTTCGCCTCAATGCTCATCTTGAGTTCTTCGTACGGGATAAACTTCCGCACACCTTTCCAGACACGAATGTCATCTTTCCAGCTCTTTGGCATGGAGTGGAACAGGTATAGTGACTTCTGTCCATCAGTTAAGGTAGACTTGGTTGCCTCGGACGCGGCTTTCATCGCGTTTTCCAGCTTTAAGAAGAAGTTCGCGAGATCGCTGCCTTCTTCGTACTTGATCTCCATCAGGAAATGCTGGATGAAGTAGGGATCGCCATGGAAAGCAGCGCCTTCGTACTTGGTACAGATAGCTTGAAAGATGTCGAAGGCTGTTGAAAGGTTCTTGACCAGACGGATATGAGTATCGTCCATCGTCTTCATCAAAATTGCCGCTACCATTCATCGTACTAAAATGTTCCAGACATTTTAGTACATTTTTTATTAGAGTCAAAAATACCGTGTCTCTTCATTATTAGTTTATAGAGAGCACGATGGAGAGGCGGTCCCTGTGACGGGCCCTAACCTCAACAATCAGGAAGCAACTCTTTACAGGGAATATCGTGAGTGTCTGAGTGAGCAGATGTTTACGTAAGAACAAGAGAGAGAGAGAGCCGAACGAGCATTGCTACCCCCTCTTAGCGCTCAGCACACACATAGCCACTAAGGGCCGTTCTTAGCCAAAAAATAACGGTGGATTATGCTTCCATGGCCCAATCATTTCACTTGGATCCATATGGCAGTGGACGCCGTATGGTCCGTTTGATCCACGTCCACTGTGTGAAATTAGGGTTGGTGGCCGTGGACGGAAGGTGGACGGGAGGAGAGACATACCTGACGGGATAGAACGACACCTTTGGCTGGGGTTTATACAGCTCATTCCATCAAGTCTCCTGAAGCACTCAGTCCACATCAGCAACCAACGGCCCCCTGTCAATCTATCTCCATGTCCTCCTCCTCCGTTATGTCTCCTCATTTGCCTTCACCTACGGCACCTCCAACTACCGCTACATCTGACGGCGGCATTCCCGCGACTGCATCGACTATTGGTGATGTCATGTACAACGGCACCATGAATCTAGAGGAAGCCGACTCGTGTCTGATGGCATTTGGAGCTAAACAACTTCGCACAGAGTGTTACCTCCGGCAGCTACGTATCGTTAAAAAGGACCCGGACGCCAACGACCACAAGTCAAACCGATCAAAGTGATACATCGAAGCTAATATTAGATGTCAACCACCCCTCCTTCAACCTTAGCCACTAAGGCCATCCACTAGTTTTAAGTTTGTTCTTAGCCGAATCAAGCACAAAAAGTACCATCCACCTTAACTCTCATCCACTTGCAAGAAATCGGCTAAGAACGGCCCTAAGGTTTTGTTGCGTGGGGTCGAAACAGCTGCGTAAACATAAAGAGCAGCAAGTGCTGCAAACGAAGGATTTAGCTTTACATCGTGCCATCAGCAGCGAGATCGAGCGCAGCCTCTAAGAAGAGCAACTGCTTCAAGAGCAGCATGAGAACAGAGGTACCGAATGGCAACAATCGGAGGGTGTTGTGCTACAGCTACTGCGGCAGGGTCTATCGGAGAGTGTAATTAAAGGAATTAATTTTTGTAGGCGGCAGCCGTAAAGCAAGCCTGAAGCAAATGCAAGAGACTGGTGTTGAAAACTTTCATACCAGACGCGAACCTTTAGCCCCATCTCATGCATACAGTGACGAAGTTATAGAACGTTTTAAGACACATTATTCGACTTGAATATTGGAGGATGGCTTTCCGTGCGCACACCGCAAACCGCGGCAGTACTTTACCGAGCCAAAGGTCACGTGGAAAGTTATCCATTCTCGCTGTGAAGAAGCCGTAAGGCGTAAGCACCCAGACGCAAGAACAATGAGCTACGCTCGCCTTACACAATACGTTCATTACATTTACCCTGGCGTGAGACTTACGGAACCGCTGAGGATCTTTGTGACTGCTTTGTTCGCCTCGATATTTTCTTCAACAACCCGATCTATCGGAGGATGAGAAACAAGCAATTTTACTCGAGAAAAAAAAACACACACACATCGACGAAACCATCGCCCAGCGCCGATTTGTTTCTTCCTTTATCAAAGGATACATCACTTTACATGCACCTGACCAGTCGATTCCGAATGAGATTATTCCGGACACCGTTGATACCATGCCCGGTGATGAAATTCGTTCTGAGGGTGATGAACATGTACACTGTCGTGTACAGATACAAGCAGAGGATTATGGTGGAGGAATTTCGATGCCGTACTACGGCCATTCCCGTCCGTCTGCAGACTATTTCAACAGCAATATGATGATTCAAAACTTTGTCGTTGCGGACATAACCCACGGAATCAACAACGTTCATTTCTATGATGAACGTGGCCAAGACAAAAATGCAGATGCATTATGCAGTCTCCGTCTTTTGTACCATTTAAAAACTATTAAACGCAATGCATGCAATGGAGTTCCTGCAGCTGAAGTGAGTTTCAGTTTGCTGGACAACTGCGTTGGTCAAAACAAATCCAAAGTAGTGATGATGTTTTTGCAAGGCTGTCGATTATTTTTCCCTACAAGAAGGTAGTATTGTGCTTCCTACTACCTGGTCACTCGCACAACATAGCCGATCGGGTCATAGCTTGGTGCCCCGCGCCACCCGCGGCCTCAATTTGTACACACCAATGGATTTGGTTAAAAAGGTGAATGAAGTTAAAAGTGTCAATGGAACATTTATCGACCACAACGCTCCCTGATCGCCCATTTTTTGTCGAATGGGGAACTCTTCTCGCTAAATATTTTACGCCTCCACCTGCAGGCTACACAGCAAATTATCTTTTTGAAATTAACAAAGGGATATGCACTGCTCGGAAGACGGTAAACACGCCGGAGGATGAGGCTATCGTTTTTGCTACGGTGGACAGCAGTAATGTTAGTCGTATCCAGAATGCAGTGTTGTCGGAGCTATTTGGATCAACCGTTCATAGTATTTGGGAGGCTTCACTATCCAGTGTACAGCTTCCTCGACACCCCAAGAAAGAGCTATCAGCCAAAAAACAGAAATTGCTCTCAGCGAAGTACTTTTCCATCCCAAAGCAGTACCTCAGTTATTATCCAGACGTACCTGAAGCTATTGCGAATGCGCGAGTTGTGCAGACCGACGACGAAACTTCTGCTGCACCTGCTGCAGGGTCCAGCCCATCGGCTAAACGCAATCCAGGACGGCCTAGAAAAAGAAAAGAAACATCGCTGCGGTCAAACTAACCGTCCATCCTACAGTTCTTTAGCTCGCAGCGGAAGTAGGAGGGTTGAGCAACATGGTGATAAATAATATACACGTACCGAGTATTATCGGTTTGAGATGAGAGCCCTGGAGTCCAGATGGGAACCCCGGGGTCCCGCCAAATGTTTCAAATGTGGTGTTTAAAATAGCGTAATCAGAGTTAGAAACGGACGGATATTCGAAGGGTGATCTTTCTTCATTGTTCAAGATGAGCGACGCTCCTTCCAAAGCCAGAGGACCCAACTTTGCTCTTGCGGAAGACAAAGCTCTCTGCTTTGCGTGGCTAAATACCAGCGGAGATGGAGGTGTGGGCACGAATCAGTCTAGAGGTGACTTTTACAAGCGTGTGAAGTAGGTATTCGACCAGGCGCTACGAAAAAAAAGTGAGTGGGTTGCAGAGCGCGTTCCTAGATCATTAAGCAGCCGATTCAGCATCATATCGCACGACGTCTCTAAGTTTGTTGCCTGTTACGCTAAAGCGGAAGCTCTGGAGCGTAGCGGTCATACGGCATCCGATATCGAGCACCAGGTCGTCCAGGCTTACGAATCGAAGAAAAAAATTGGCAAATTTTTGCTTTCTGCAGTGCTGGTACTTTCTTTGAGGATTCACCGAAGTGGGGTCGTGGCGTCAAAAGAAGCAAACTCCAAGAAAAAACAAAGCAACAGCAAGCTCGGATGTGCCCCCGGTGCGCCAACTTCGGATTCGGGCAAGCGAGAAATTGGGCAGAAGCGAATAAAGCTAGACGACACAAACGCAGCGTTGTCTGCCAGACAAGTGAAAGCTGCGGAACGCATGGCCAACAGCGCGGAAGCTAGAAACAAGGGGGCTCGGGAAAAAAATGACCTATACTTGTTCAGTATGAGAGGCGCTTGAGTATGTTGCGTCGCAAATCAAAAAGATTCTTTTGGCTCGGGCGCTGCAACTCTTCCATCAAATGGTAGCTAAGATGAAAACCCCAGTCGCCATACCGATCTTTTTGAAGTTGGTTTTCAGAACGATGTCGACGAAAGCGACGTGACTACAGGGGATGAGACTGTGACGCCGTTGTTAGCATTAATCTAGATTTTTAAAATTCAAGAAGTAATCTAACACCTTAATAGCCACAACTTTTTCGCTGTTCACTTTTTTCACCCTCCACCGCATCTTCCGACCAGTCTGTGGTAGACATCATAATGCTGAAGGAGGGTGTCAAGAAAGAAAATCTAGCAGAAATGTTGGTACTAATAAAAAAAATCAAGAAGAGCTAAGCTTTCTATCAGACTTCTCACACTCCGATCATTTCTGCATGAAGTATAATATCAGCTTAAAAAAATGAAATTTTTAAATTCATGCATCCAAGTCGAAAAGTGAAAAGTGCATCCCAAAATTGCTCCGAGCGATAAAAAAGCTGCTAAATAGAAAAAATATGGTGGTTTCAAGCCACGCCATCTTGTTACGCCCAAAACGAGTCCTACGCCTGGCGTCGTCGAGCCGATCGAAGTCGCGGCTGCACATACAAGCACCATGTCAGTTGAGTTCGAGCTTGTTCGCATCCGTTAGACAAGTTTTTTTTTTTACCTTTTCGTAGTCATCAGCTGCAGTTCCCTTGCGTTTCTTCGCTGGTGTTTCGTGCTCTTCTTCCTTCTCTTCGATAGGCGTCTCTGCAATCGCTAGACGTGCATCCAGTGGCGATGCGGTCGGTGCTTGCGACTGAGACGCAGTAGCCGAGCCTGGCAGCAGCGTCTCTGCTTCACTGTCGCTGGAATCGTCCGCATACGTGCGTAACGCTGGTCGAGTCGTTCCCAGCACCGACTGGCGTCGAGCAGGCGCCGCCACGGCCTCGTCTTCGTTCTCCTCTTTCTTCTCCTCTGTCCCAGCCACGTCATCTCCATCTTCCCCGACTCGGAGCAGCGAGCGCTTGCGTTTGTTCCGAGAACTCTTCAACGAGCTGCCAGGAGGCGAATTCAACTTCATAAAGTGCGTCGCAAAGTCCATCGGCTTGATCGGCGACAGCGAAGTCTGCAGTCTCGATCCACGGGATGCCGTCTGCGTCCCCAGCGACTCTGGCGCTTCCGGTTCTTTCCTCCCACCGGGCGTCGCGAGTGTGCTCGGTCTCCCGGGACTGTAGAGATGCTTGGGCAGGAAAATCTTGCCTGGGAACGGCTTCAAGTTGGACTGACTCTTGATCCTCTTCTTGAGAAGCACCGCCGCGCTGTCGATGAGAGGGTAGATATTGATGTCGCTGGGGGCTGCCACGTCGTGACACTGCGAGAGTTTGGTCAGCATCTGCAGCAGGAACGCGATATTGTCTGCCGCCGCCGCGTTCGTGGCCACCAATCCGTCGAGGAAGAAGCTCAGGTAGGCCAACTGATCGGCCCACAGAGCGCTGGATAGCACCTCAACAGTCGACGTTCTCTCCACCAGCTTCACTGGGAAGGAAGGATGGTGGGCCAGAAGGTGGATGACGTAGGGCAACGCGTACTCCGGCACCATCAGAGCCGCCATCCGTCCAGGGTTTGACGTTGAGTCTCGAGACGACGCGGCGTCGAACAAGCGGCGCATGCGTTCTACCGCCAACTTGAGTAAACTTTTGGCGCTTTTCTTCACACTGGGGCTGGCATCTGTGGCCGCCAGCGCCAAGTAGCTGAGGTACTTGTGCGGGTGCTGACCGAGGTGCTTCACTAAGTGCGACGTCAGCTTCTTCAGGAACTTGCGACGAACATCCTCGCTCGAGTCTTGAAGCGTCCAGCCCAGTGTATGCCACTCAGACAGAGAGAGCGAGGCTTCTAGCTGTCGATTGCGCACGATCTTCATCAAGCCACACGACGCCGTAGCTCGGAGCGCAGCCGTCTGCGCAGGAGTCGAAGCGAACGTCTTCCCGTCCGAGTGTAAGACGCCAAACAGCAGCTGGATCAGCGTCGAGGCTTCTTGCTGGAAGGCAGGAGACCAGCAATACACGAGCAGGTTCACCGCCACTTTGACGGCTGCGCAGCGCACTTCCACGAGCTTCGCAGCTGTCGATCTACTGCCCTTCGGTGTCCGGTCTTTGGCCGCCGATGAGCCTGACGTCGACACTTGGTCGCCCTTCCCGATCACATCGTCGACTAAGTTCGTCCACAGGCAGGAGAACAGCTCGCCGTCCTCTGTCAACACGTGGCTGCAGTGCTTCGTCAAGACCTCGAGACTCTGCAACGCCGGCAACGCTCCCGACTTGGGTTTCGTCTTGAGCACAGCCTGCCGACAAGTTGCGCTGTCGTCTCTGCTCGCTCGTAAAAGTGCGCGATGGCATACGCTGCCAACTCGGCTGCTCGACTTTCCTTGGCCGCGTTAAAGTTCTGCGCTTCCACGTCGCTGTCCCCAAGACAAAAGTTCTCGAGCTGCTGTGATAGCTCTGCAGACGGCGTGTTGCGGTCTTCGTCGTCTCCTGGACCACTGGTAGCCGCCCAATGACGCGAGTAATTGGCCAGCACGTGCAGCGCTCCAAGGATCACGCGCGGGTCCTTCGGCGCCGTCTCGTCCTCGTCTTCTTCGCCGGATACATCCCCCTTGCTGTCAACTAGAACTGCCGCTATCTCGTCGCGGACAAATGGCGCGAACAGTTCGGGCAGCTCTCCTGACGCCATCACCAGCAAGTCCACAACACTGCGGTTCTCCCTCGCCACTCGAGCCTCTTTCAGCACCAAAAACTCCAACAAGACAGCAACGGACTTCTGACTCATTGTCAGCAGCGACAGCTTGCGGCAGAGCTTCTTGAGGAACTCGCCCAACGGCGTCTTGGACCCAACACAGCGCACCAGCTGATCCCTCGCCTCGCGAGCTTCTCGTTGCGTCTTGGAGAAGTCGCACAAGTCGCCCAAGTGCTTGAACGCGCTGTGATCCTTCCACGTGGACAGCTGCTCCACTAGTTTGTCCAGTTTAGAGACATCCGAGAACAGAGGAGCCAGTCCGTCGCACAGCTGTTGCTTCGCCTGCTCCAGAGCTGCTTCGTCGCCTCCAGAGGCCCGTCCTTTGTGTCGACTCGTAACTTTGAACTCGACGAACGTCCGACAGACTTGCTGGCACTTGGCGCGTTCACTTAAGACTCGACGCAGAGCTTCTCTCGACGTGGCATCGAGCGAGTGGAAGAGGAACAGCAGTCCGTTCGCTCGCGTGGCTTCGGACAGCGCCTTGGGCAGCAGAAAGTCGTCCAGCAGTTGAACCACACGGAGCTTCAGCTCTTGCTGCGGGTACGCGTAGCATTTCAGCACAAAGTCCGGGATCCAGCCGAGCTTCTTGATGTTTCCCGTCGGGATATGGCGCTGCGTCAGCGACAGAACTCGCTCGTCCTCGTCGCCCCAGTACGACGAAATGTGCGCGCTGAAGACCTGACTCAGCCCCGTCATGGTTTCCTTCCTCAGCACGACTCTCTTGTCCTTCATGCGCTCGCCCACTGCTCGGAGACACTCCTCGCCGATGAGGTCCAGGTGATTCGCTGCAAAGTCGCACAGTTCGTGCACCACAAGCTGCCGCACTTCCCACTCCACGTCGCTTAGCCGCAGGATGAACTCCCTCTCCAGTAGATCCGCCAGGTCTGGCTGCTGCGTCCAGATCGCCACACTGGCTTGAATCATTTGCAGGCGGATCTCCTTGCTGGCATCGCGGAATCGACCCAGAAAGTCGCGGAAGTTCTTCATGTACTGGTGGTGGCCGTACTCGGCCTGCGACGACGCGAAGATCTTCCCCATCAGAGCGATCGCGTCCGAGCGAGTTGCCACCTCGTCCACTTGCAGTTGCAGACACACGTTCGGAAGCACATTGAGCAACAAAGACGGGCTCAGCTTGTGCACTTCGTAGATGAGCGTGTACACGTGCTCCCTGAGCTCCGAAGAGTTTGGGGAACGGGGTCCGTCAACTAGAATATTGTTGAAGAAATTTGACAATGGGGTTTGCAAATTTTCGCTGGTGCGGCGAATCAGTTCCTTTGCCATATGTGATGGACTTGTTGCAGTATTCTGACCATCATTCTCATCAGAAGTTGCCGCATTCACCAGTGGCCGCAAAATTACATCCAGAAGTGGCAATTCCACCTCGTCGCTCTCTTCGACACACGCCACCATGATACTGAGCATCAGGTTTTCCAGTTTGGCCGAGTGGTCTGCGCGAAGAGTGGCAAAAAGCGCTTCGAACAATTGGACCATCACTCTCGGCTCGTTTTCTTCGGTGGTAAAGTCCAAATCGACCACCAATAGACAGGATTTCACTGTTGCCAGACTCTCCAGCACGTGGAAATGGTACAAATCTCTCGTCGTCGTGGTTTGTTCTGTGGATAGAGCTCGGATCTGCTCGATAAGAAGTTTAAAGACCCGATAGAGGTCCTCATCGGAGCTAAAAGGCGAGTCCGGGGATGCTACGCGCATGATTTCCACCAGGCAACAGGCAACAAGGGATCGGGCGAGTTTGTCCTGGTGTTGCAGTAGCTTGTTCTGCAGTAGCTCGGCCGCCACGAGTTGCAGCTTGCGTGTTGCATGAACATTCACCACTCCGTCTTCGCATTGTTGCAGTTTGCTTGATGTGTTTTGCAGTGCTTGCAACATTTCTTTCAGTTTTTTGCTCAGTGTGGACGAGTTGCGTCCTGCTTGCGCTAAATAGTTGCCAGAAAACACCTCGTCCGAGGCAGTGACACGTCTGGTTTGGGTTCTCTGTGGCGTCTGATTCTGAGTCTGTTGTTCCAGCACGTGGTCCGAGTCTGGGTCCTCCGCTTTGAACTCTTCTCCCTCTGCAGCTTTTTGGCGGTGGGAAGCACGTGTAGACGGCACCATTTTGCTAGCAGCACGCCGTTTGGCTGCCGCGGTCGCGCGGGTAGTGCGCGGCCCCATCGTGCGAGGTGATGACGCAGCAAGACAAGAGTGATGGCTCGCGTTTCCTTTTGCCTTTCGCTTGGTGCAAGTTTTGGCGGGTTTCCTTTTGCCAAATGGCGTGGTATACATAAATTACCTGATGCAAAAAGAAAAACTTCAACCCGCGTTGATTTTGGGCTTTATACACTTATCGCGCGATGCGAGTTTAAACATTGAGAAACTTGTACACTGCGCACCCGCCATGGGCGGTGACACCTGACGAGTAGGATACGCCATCTTTAGTAGTAAAACCCGAGGTAATCCACGTTCCGATGGATTTATCCTGACCTTGCAGAAGGTAAGCGTTGTTGGTGACTGGCTCGGCTGTGCCGAAATACAGACACGCCTTCTCGTAGAAAGTGTAGATACACGTCGAGTTGTCCATGAGGCGATTGTTCGTGTCGATGATGCCGTCACGCACTGTGTTGAGCATCTCGCAGTCGCCATCGGAGTCTCCAGACGCGTAGATCGGAGCTGCACCCGCGTGGATCTGCGTCAAGATGTTCTCGATCACTGTGGCTTTACCAGGCCCCCAGGTAGTAGGATAACCCTTCTGAAGCTCTCCAGTAAACTTACCGACAGCGTCAGTCGTAAAGCGACCGCCATATACATTTCGCTGTGGCACGATGTACCCAAGTCCGAGGAGATCGGCGGCTTCCTCTGCGAAGAGTTCGGGGGACCCACTGATGACGTAAACTTCGACTCCCGCCTCGCGCAACGCACGCATCGTCGCCTCTTGGCCACTGAAGACGCGCAGGCCTTTGGAGTATGCGCCTTCGACTACTAAATCGCCAGTTGATGTGTACGTGAAAAAGTCTAGAGACTCGGCCAAGTTCCATCGAATACTGGCGCGGATGGACGTCCTGATCTCGTCTTCGGTCATTCCAACAAGCAGACGTGGGTACACCATCATGGCATTCGTGAGTGAGCATTCAGAATACTCGTTGCCGCCGTCCATGGCCATCAGACTGTACAGCAAGAAACTGAGCTTAGGTCGGAAATTCAGGAACGCGGCGGTCTCCTTTATCTCGTGCAGTGTTGTGCTTGCCGCAGTACCATTTGTTAAGTTGTAGGTGGGGGCAATGTAAGCGTCGTAGAGCACTCTATAGTCTTTGGCGGTATCGACAAGAGCTTCGACTAGCGTCACATCCCTCCCGTTAACCTCTTGACCAATTACTGAATATGTGCCATTGGGAAAGCAAGAGTCGCCACTACTGGCGTTGTAGCCAAGAGCGAAGATCGACTCAAACTCGTCTGGTGAGAAGCGGAAGCTGAGATTGTCGACTTGGTAGAACATTGAAGTGGACGAAATATCTCCGAACATGCACGTGTTATCCCAGTCGAAGACTGCGTAGGCCTCGCCAGTGTTGCGTAGTGAGCTCAGGTTGGCCAAGAGTTTGGCTACCACCTTGTTGTTGTAGTCTGGTGCCTCAGGCGTCACAAAGTAGTTTGAGGTATCCATGGTGGCAGAAGCGATGGGAGCCACCAATAGAATTGCTTTAGCGAGGACTCGAGTCATGTTGATCGCGGACTGGTGAAGACAAGGCGAATTGCGAAATGGAATTCATACGATAGGAAAACAACTCACTTGGTGCCGTCTGACGCAGAGATACCGAAACGGATGTGTACCACAGGACAGGCGGCACAGCACGTGGACCCTCCTGCCATTCCGAGTGATAGGGGCCACAATTGCCATCTCAGAAGCCCAAGCGCCCACTCTCAATGTACTGTTGGGTACTTCTACAGTAGTAGTCTATTTGCGGTCGGTTTTTCTCGTCGAGCGTCCACAGTCATGTTGCCAACGCTAGACAACTTGGACCGCATCAACTAACTGTAGACAAATGTGAAGTGTCGGCCGACAATCTGAAATCAAGAACCGTTTCTTTCCTTCCGGCTTGATTTCAGCGTGGCATGTAGGAGAATTTAAAGCTCTGAGCTAAGGATGCCAATCCTGACGAAAAAGTTGCCGGGTGATATGTATTGTTATCACCACCCTTTTCGTCTTATTCAGGCGCTAAATCGACCGTTATTACGAGGCTATACATATAAATCCCTCCGTTCGCTGCCCTCTCTGAAAATTTATAAAGATACATGTAGTATATGTGGGATCGTAAATCTTATGTAAACGGGTGTAATCACTTCAATATTAATTCCTTATTGAAATACTGGATGATATCTGATATTCTATGTGGAAGTTGACCCAACCGGTGAAGCCCTTTTTGTAAGTGTCAATTTAGTAGCCTCGATTGAGTGCTTTCACTAAATCTGCGATTTATTGGCACCTAATAACGGGTTCTACTAAATGATATGGGTATACTATACCATTAGTATACCCTAAAAAATCGCTAGGGTAGTTTATTTGGAGTGGTATTATATATTTAAGGACATTAACCTATCAAAGCCCCGCGAAAAATACTAGCGTCTTTGAAGAGGTTCTTGTTAATTCCAAACAAACAAAAACTCGTCGACCTAAGAACCCGCGATCGTCGTACATGAGTAAAGAGGAGCATCTGAGCTACCTTTTTAGAAGCCACGGAGGCTTCTAGAAGTGAGATTCGACGTAGATATAATTCGTAAAAAAAAACGGATATCCCTTCCCAAACCCCAAAATATACTTTTCTTACTGAAATATAGAAGATTATCTAACGATACATTCTGCTCGGATGGTTGACCCTTTTAATTCTTGGAGACGCGCCCGGGAGGGTAACCCTTGGAGACCGAAGCCTCGATGCGCGTACACAAGCCAAGTGTACGCGCATCGAGGCTACGTCAACTATAAATGGCGTCACTAGCTAGTTTTGACAGTAAGTACTTGAAATCATACTTCAAATATCGATTGCTTAGTCAACGAAATAACGATACATGTACTGTATTAAATACCGCTCTTCACAATGTCGACGTTTTCTCGCTCTGATTAGTCCAATTTTGCTATTGGGGTCGACAGAAGGAAAGGCACCCCAAATATTGTATTGTGCTTAAAAAGTATTGATTATCCGTAAATCATTCGAGGGATACGCTGGTATCTCTCGTTCCGAACCATATTTTCAGAGTGCGTCCTGTCTTCAGCGGTTAAATATTCTAGAGGCTCGATCGTAACAGACCCGCGAATCCAAGCACGAAGGGCACCCTCAACCATGTCAGTACTTAGTATCTCGTCGTACTCAAATATATAGTTGTCATCGAAACTACTGTCTTGAACCAGATCATGAGGACGCAGAAGTCTGGGAGCGCAATGAAGACAGTGACTCAAATGATGTAGACCAATAAGCCCACACCTTCGGTTTGCAATCCTTTTTGTAGAGTGTTCGTGTCGTATGCTGTGATAGGTAAATCGACGCTTTATTGTCTTAGATCAAGCTCACACTGCTCACATGCTAGCCATATTTGCTCCTGTCGCTCGTCCTGTACTCTTTCCTGCTCTCGACGGTGCGCACGTTCCCGTTTGGAGCTGCCATATATCGTTACCATGCTGCTCTCAAAGCAATTGCTCTTCTCGGAGGCTGTGCTCGAGCTTGCAGCTCGTGGCACGCTAAATCCTTCGTTTGCAACACTTGCTGCTCTCTGTTGACGCAGCTGTTTCGACCCCGCGCAACAAAAGCTTAGTGGTTATGTGTGTGCTGAGCGTTAAGGCGGAGTAGCAATGCTCGGTCAGCTCTCTCTATCTTGCTCTCGCGTGAACATCTGCTCACTCAGACGCTCATGATGTTTTCTGCTAAGAGTTGTTTCCTGATGATCACCACATTTGCGTTCCTCCTCTTGTCCGCGCATCCTGCGGTTTTGAAGGGATTCGCGCTGTCTTTGGCGGAGATTCGGTCACCTCTTACGCGTATTTGAGCGGCGGCGTGTTGTCTTTAGCGACGTCCGTTTTCCTCCATTGTAATATCTCTCGGGTCGAGAAGGGTTTACTCTGGGATAGCTTGCTTGTAGAAATGCAATATGTCTGTCAAAAGCAAATTAACTTCTTTTAAACTTTTTATAAGTGCGTCAAAAACGTTAGGTAATTTTACAGGAGTACAACAGACAGAACACCGATGGCTGGTCCAACCGACAAACCGAACCCCCATGAGTCGTAGTGCACAATTATCACCAACTAGAAATTTTATAAACGAGATAGCGCTGCCATATGAGTTTCAGCCTATGACAATTGTCCTGTTCCTGGATCACTGACGCCATGGAGACAAGAGGACAACAGCGCACGTCATTGGGCTTAAAGCAGCCGTACACCGCCATGTAGAGCTCACTGCCGAACGTTCAGTCGTTGAGAGCAGCTTCAAAGTCTTCTGGTGGCTCTTCTCTGTTTTTGTTTCTCCACCGCCTTGATAACGAGCTCCATGTCGTGAAGGATGGTTTCCTTGCACACTGGCCTGCGGCCGGATGTCGCATTCCATAAGCTCATTAGAAGGCGTCTAATCGGTACGCGTTGATCAGCTGGATTGTGAGGGCAACGTTAATTTCGCGTCCGCTCAGATTGCGACGTACCAGAAGGTAAATCACAGTAAACTACGACCAGTTATTCAATAAACTTAGCTAAGCTCTTATTTGTTGGGTATAGCCGTGCTGGCAGCCTCCTTTCCCACCTGAGAGGTGGTGGGTGGGGGGGGGGGGTCAGAAACGCACGTGGGACATCAGATTGGAGTACCCAGTTGTGGTACGTGTTTTCTTATCTTCCCGCACGCCTTGCAGGTGTGCAGACCCGTTATGTCGCCTTATCCAGGCAGTAAGGGAGCGAAAATACTTGCTTCACTGTGAGCTTGCTCTTTATAGGCTCTGGGGTGATAGGAGAGACGAACAGATGGGAAAGGAGGGACTACATGTAGACCTCATTGTGTTCGGTGCAAATTGCAGAATAACGTAGAGTATGTGTTGTTAAGAAGTCGTGGAGCTCAGAACCAATTACGAACTGTTGGTTGTCTCTGTGTGGGAGAAAATATTTGTTTGTGGAGGTACACCAAATCCATACATAATGTATTTAAATTATTCAGGGAAACAGTAAAAATAATTTTAACTTTTTATTAGCTTATCGATTTCCCTGGCACAAGTTCACGGAAACGCTGCGGGTGAATTGCTTTAATTTGATGAAGTAGTTTACCTAGTGCTGGCTTCTGCATAAGTGCTAGTATCCAAACACTTTGCGAGGTATCTTTGTGATGATTAAAAAAACGAAGTGAGCCCAACGGTATTTTAATACTTTCGTTACGAACATGCACTGCCACCGACAGGACTTTGTCCTCAATGGAGTCGCTGCTTCTGATCCGCTGGCATTTTGCATTGAAAGTATCTTCGTCAAAAGCGACTGGAAGAAATGAATCGCCATTCTTTATCTAGCCCCCCCCTGGTAATGTTAATCTCGGAGGCGATCTTGTCTACAGTGCGTCGTTTCCTTTCGGATCTTTTCACACTGCTGTGAAAAGGGAAATCGCACGCGTCAAACTCGCGGAGACGCAGCAGTCCAATGTTTGCAAATTTTTCAAACCATCACCGTCGAGGTCTCTTCGCTTTACGTTCGTTCCAGTAAGTAGTTTTCCATAGTTTCAGCAATGTATTGAGGGAGATGGCCACTTGATTCGAAGTGCGTCTCGCAAACAAATACTTCCAATCACAGAACTTGGTCGCAGAAACGCATAGCGAATCGATTCGAAACCCTTCGCAACGTTGCTGTGATTAAAAGCCGCATCGATATCTTCGATAGTAGAGAAGCAGTGTGGGACATCTCTGCTTACCAATTTCGTTAGTATCTGCGTGAGAACCAAGTTGGTAGGCAAAGCATCTGCGGCAAGAGCACGAGGGCTGGAATTGTGGTTCTTGTCGAAATATCAGCCAATTCTCGAGATCAAATTCTTCGTAGCTCCCACCGAATCAGACTTTGCATTTGCATCAAGGTGGTCGTCGGCTGTGTGGCAACAGATTAAAATTTCCCCGTTTTTCTTGTTTGGTAATTTATCCCCATATTTTGCGACAACACCGAATAAATTCCACACCGAACGAGACCAGAGATATTGTCCACAAGAGCCCCGAATACGACGTGATTTTCCAGCAATATCGCGTCACCAGCTAGCTGGTTTTCATATTTGGTGCGTCTTTGTTGCAGTGCAATACTACGTGGTACATTCACGTCGGTTCTTGCGGTGTGCCCCAGTGCGGGTGGAGCGAGAACGCATCAAAAACACCTTGTTTTGCATAATAACACTTAAGATTTGTTTTGACTTGGTATTTGTAAAAGCAGCCAGGGGGGATTACACGGCTCTCCTGTGGAAAGGCACTATATAATGTAAGAGGTCGTTACCAGCCGCGCTTCGCTTGGCTGGGGCTCGCTTCGCTCGCGATTAATAGATTCTCTCACCTGGGAAGTGCAATGCGCGGCTCGCTGGTGAGCTCGGCGCTGGGCCCGCCTCCGCAAATACCGCGCGGCCCTGCTTCGAGGGCTCCCCGCGCGGGTTTGCTGCGGCTACGCGACCTCGCACCCGCTCGCCTTAGTTGGCGCCATAGCTGCGTCGCCCCTCCCCGGAAGGTGCTATTATGCGCTTGAGGGTGCTGCACACCGTTTCGATTCGAAATTCGAACGGTGTTTTTGGTATTTTGTCCGGTGGAGCCAAGCTGCCCATCTTGACTAGCGCTCGAACACGCGATTTGATTAGCACCTCCACGACTCAACAACCTC